CTGCAAGAGCGTAACTGGAAGTTATTGTATAACTACGTCATTGAATAAGGCCAATTTTATTAATTGCATTGCAGGGCAATCTTCAAGTTTTCTAATTTTCATTATTTTATTTTGTATTATTTGCAGTTTGATTTAATTTGATTTTTTTTTGAAGTTTGGCTCAATATTTCCAGTCCTACGTAGCAACTTCATTGTATGTAGGAATATAACTTGTTTTGAAACTTTCTAGATGAGATTCTAGAAAGCTTATTTTGTTTGTGTATCAGGTTCACTGAACACAAAATTTAACTTGCTGTACCGACCCGAAACTCGCTCAGTAGGTTAACAACTTGTAAGTCGACCTTGGTCTCCATCGTGCATTGTTGTTAATTCTAAAGGGTTTCGTTACAACCAACTGTTGTTTCTCAAAGTTATGTTTAGGTTACGTCAGTGAATATTTTCTTTAGTCTTACTTACAACTTCATTATATGTAAGAATTTACCTTGATTAGAGCCTTTTGTTAGACTTAGGTGACATAGATTCACTGTAGAATCTAATTTGCTCGACTTCTTAAGCAGGTATTACACCAACAATTTCTTCACGAATAAATTCAGGAATTATTGGGCAAATTTTTTCAAGGTCGCATTTTGGTTTTACACTGCTCAAGGACTTCATGAAGTTTTTTGACAATTTAGCTATCAGATGTCATTCTTGCCAACTTTAAAATAATATTCACAATTTGAGGTGATAATTTCCATTTAAATATCAAAAATTTGAAAAAATGAGTAATATATTTAGTAATTATATTTCACGCCAAAGAAATAGAGTTAATGTTGATAAAAAAAAACTGCCCTTGCTTTTATTATCGCTGCTGCTCTGTTACTATCGGGGCCAGAGAATGAGACAATGCAACGAAGATGGTGGGTACGGCCTTGGCTAGAAGATAAGCACAAGGGAGGGTTGAAACTAACTGAAAAAAACTTTGAAGAGGATCCCGAACAATTTAAACAATTTCTGAGGCTGTCTAAAGAGAGTTTCTATAAATTGTTGGAGCTACTGAAGCCTTCAATAGAAAAGCAAGATACAAAATTCCGAGACTCAATAAAGGCTAAAGATAAATTGATAATCACCTTAAGATTTCTGGCTACAGGGAAAACATACCGAAGCTTGATGTATAACTTCAGAGTCAACAATATCTTTATTTGTGCCAGAAGTTTGTCGGGCAATATGCAATGGTATGCAATGATGGTATGCCGCTATCCACTGTCATTGATCCGTTGTCATTGTGCCGCTTTGCATTTATTTTTTGAGTTGGCACTACCGAATTCACGCAAAAATTGACGAAAAATTAGAACACGTCCTATTTCGTGAATAACTATTAGGCAATTTAATCCATCTGTCAAAAAGGAAAATTCAATATGGCGTGGCGGCCAAGCAAGCTTGTTTTGAATATGTTTTTATGTGTATTTTAAATTATTTTGCTTAGAGTTTAGCTTGTAACTTTGATTTTGATTATTTAATACGATATTTGTTGACTAGGTACCTAAACTATTAAATCGGGCAAAACATAGATATTTTTTTGTGTTTTTTGGCCCATGTGTGGCCGTCACGCCATCTTGAGTGTCACGTGGTTTGAATTGCCTAATTGACGAAGTTCTTCATGAATTTATTTGACATCCAAGTTTAGTATTACATTTGTCAATTTCACTTCAACAAGCGACTTGATGAATTAATTCGTGAAGAAATTGTTGGTGTAATACCTGCTTTACATATCAACTTCATTGAGTGTAAGTGCGCGTTCACATTGACACCGTTCGAGCGGTGAGCGTTGCGCGATGCCGCTGTAGTGATGCCCAAAAATAATTTATTTCAAATGAACAAGTTCACAATGAGGCGGCGTGTCGCGCGGTGTTAACATGTTCATTTGAAATATAAATGTTTAAATTATTTTTGGGCATCACTACAGCGGCATCGCGCAACGCTCACCGTTCGAGCGGTGTCAATGTGAACGCGCACTAAGAATTTGAACTTTGTATTTTACGTTTTATGTAATAAAATAAGTTAGTAACTTGTAAGTCGACCTTGGCTTCCATCGTGCATTGTTGCTAATCCTGAGTATTATGTATTTTGCAATTAACTGCAAATTGCTTTCAATTAATTGTTTGAATTAATTAATGAATTAATTCTACTTTGTTAAATTCTATTTAAATAAATAGTTATCTACATTGTTTTAAATTTTTGGTTTTATTTTAATTGGCCTTATTATAGGCTTGGCGCCCAATATAAAATAACATCAAATAAAGATAACCCACGCCCATTGCCTCCTAAACTTTTGTCTGAGCAGCTGTAGGGCAACCCAAAGAAGTGATACAGATGAATCATTTCAAGAGGCTGTTATTTACATTTTGACGAGGTGCCAGTGAGAAAGCATAGTCTAAAAACGCCATCCTAGACGAATCAACATGTTGCCAATTATATTTTGGAAAAAACCTTTATTGGACTTCTCGTCGAATAAATAGGGAAAAAATGCCTTTTTAAATTTAATAAAAGTGCAAATAAACTGAGTAACTAGAAAAACTCCTCAATGCAGATTTTTGATAATTTCAAGTTGTTTGTTTTAGTAAAAAAGGAGCTTAAAGAATATTGTTATTATTCAAGTATCCTTATTTATTTTTCAACGTGACAACATCGCATAGTAAAACGGCGTCAAAGCTGACAGTTAACGTCAGTTTGATTGTGCCTTGTTGCCTTTTGTTAGAAAGCATCGTGAAATCGTTTTTGTGAGGTTTTTCTGATATTTTATGTTTGGAAAGTGAATTATTTGTGTGTTTTAAGACTAATATTATACAGCAATATGGTTAGCCAGTGTCAAATGTGTGAAAAATTGGATTATTTGAACCCGGAAATTTCATTTCATAGGTAAGTAGGGGGTTATATTATGATAGCAAAGCAGTGGCGTAGAATAGGATATAATGTACCTACTTCGCCAGAAAAATATCAAATTTGTTCCAAGATTGAGAAAATTAGTTACCAGTTGTTAATTTTGATAATTTTTTCTATGAACTTCTATAGAAAGCAGAATAATAATAATCCTTATGCTTGATTAAAGTTAAATATGCATCTTTGTAGGATTCCAACAAATCCAGAGTGCAGGCGTATATGGATTTGCCTTCTAGGATTAGAAAATAAGCGACTACCTAAAATCGCTGATGTGTGCTCCGATCATTTTAACCTCAATGATAATGCACTAGGCCTAATGGATTTAGATATTTGAAATCTGGTTCGGATTCTTCACCTGTTTCCGATGTTTTCAATACTTCAAAGTAAGTTGGTTATTTAATATTTGATATAATTTCTACATATTAGCTACATTAATTTCCAGTTCAGACCTCAGCTCAGACTCTTCAGTCACAGAGTCTCCAGTCTCCTCCAAAAACAAAAGTAGTGTAAGTTGGTTTGTAATAACAAAAAATATTGAATTATTGCTTATATTATGCAGACTACAAAAAATGAATTGGAAGGATTTTATAATCCAAAAAGAAGATACAAAATATTATCCTGATTAAAAAGGTTATGTGATTTTAACTGAGTTCAGTTTCCAAACTCAAAATTCAATATTTGTCAGATAGGGCAAAAACGCTTATTAAATCATTTTAGATTCCAAGGACTGAGTGTACCCCATGTATCCTGATGTTCCTCCAGGTCTGTGGTTGAAATCGGGAGAGTCATGTGTTTGACAAGAAAGTTGTTTCTGGAGGGTTCGTATTTTTCATCTGTGTATAGGATGCTACATAGGATTTTATTCGGTTTTGAGATAAAAAAGAGTCAGTGGTAATCATATATGCGCCTACCTACTTCTTAAAACAAGGGATTGCTCTCTCAGTCCTCAGAAACTGAGGAACAAATATTGAAGAATGTAGTCTCATAACCAGACGTAGGGACCCTTTTTTTGTATTATTTTGTAATGTAACATGAATTTGATTGATCTAACACTGCTCTATTTATTTCATTTTAGATAGTAGACCTAATTCCTAAGATCTGTATCAAAAAGATTTATTGATCAAAAGTTCCCCAGAATCTGTTTTGTTTTCATGTTTCTGCTAATGAAGCAGAACATTTTTTTTTTTAATTTGCTTAATTTTTGTCACTAAATAGAAATATTTTCACCATTTAACCTTCCTTCCGCACGCCTATGATCACTCAGGTAGAGTAAAGCAGGTGGAAAACTTTCTAACAAAGTGGCGTTGAAATCCTTTAGAAAAGATAAATTTTTCCCTAAATTTAAGGAAATTTCGGCTTAGAATGGGCGTTGTCAATGGCATACAAACAATAACGTATTTATGATTGGTATGCTCACTCTATAGTTTGTTATTCCTCTGAGGAACGGTTCAACAAAAGATGACGTTTAAAAGACCATGAAATGCTGTCTTAAACGAGACCAAAAATATTAAAATTGGTTAGATGGTTCAGGGGATATTAGCAGTGGTGTAACGAGGGGGGCGGAGCGGCGAACCGCCCTTGGCGCCATCTTCAGGAGGGCGGCAAAATTGGCCCTTCTTGTACGCTTCAAGACTTGAACTTCAAGTGGCACGTGGCATGCAACCAACATCATTATTTTTGTGATACGCCACTGGATATCAGGATGTAAAAATTGAAAAATGCATTGGCCTCTTTCCCTCCCTTATTATTAGAAATGCGAAAAAATATCGCGAAAAAAAAAATGCTGCATTACCCAAGCTATCAAAGTATCACATGATGTTTTCAAAGATAGCTCATCGTTCAACTTTTCTAGATAGCGTAATTTTATTTTTCTCTATAGCAGTTACACCCCTAGCGGTCGAATTACGAACTTCAAAATAATTTCCAGCCATTTCTCTTGCCCTCTTTATCTATAAAGGGTTTTTTTTCCTACCATTATCGCGATACAGCCGCTTGGTACAGTTATCCGGACAACCTATTCAGTTGAAAAAAAAAACCTGTATTTTTTTTCTAAATGCCTGTTTTTATCTTTTTTAATACAGATTTTCAAAGATGTCCAAGAAATTGAGGCAGAAAGTAAAGGCGAAGGGAAATGGGACATAGTCACAATTTATGATAGGAAAATTGAGGACATTTTGGTAAATCAAATCAAAAACAAATATCCTGATCATAAGTAAATAAGCATCTCTGCCACGAGGTTTGATAGTCGCACTATTAAATCTCTTGGAGTTGAGTGTATTCGACAAATTTCAGCTTGACTTTGCATTTATTTTCTAGACATATTGCGGAAGAAGAAGTATCGAAAACAAAAAACAAAAAACTAGAACTGACCAACAGCCCCACATGGATTATCGATCCCATAGATGCCACTGCGAATTTTGTCAGAAGAATTCCCATGATATGTATTTCAATTGGTTTTACTATCAACAAGGAACAAGTTTTGGGAATTGTTTATAATCCTTATATGGATGAATTATTTACAGCAATTAAAGGAAAAGGGGCGTTTTTGAATGGTCAAAGAATTCACACCACCAATTGTACAGGTATAAATGACTCATAGAATTTTTTATTTTTTTTTTTTCATGTTCTACCAATATTGATTACTTGTTCTTGGAAGTTTCGAATTAGGGTGTGCTGATCGAAACTTTGATCCAGATGCTCTTGCTCGACGAAATAAATATGGATAAAGTTAAATTGATATTTCGAGATTGCCACTGTCCCTACCCATCCCATTACGATGCAGGCTGGTTCGCGGGTGCAATTTTGTTAACACCTATCGAACTGTCGTATCTTCCATCTCACGAGGTAAAGAGGAAGGAGCTCTCGAACGATTTCAGAATTAGTTGTTGTTTCACATATCATCTATATATGTCTGTAAATCTTTCAAAGGTTGAGGAGTTTAATCATAAGTGCTCTAGAATATTCCGTAAATTGAAGTCAACCACCTCAGAGAGGTATAAAAAAAAGTTGGCGTGTTCATGTGCATATTTGTAACTTTTTGCGTGTCTAGAGAATAGGGCTTCATCGCAAATGTTTCCGCACGAATTATCGAATGTAATACCACAAGTGGTTTCAGGATTACCGGATAATACTTTCACCTGTCACGAAACGCGTTACGCAGCAACACCACGACTCCGAAGGAGGAGTGGTGTTGCTGGTAACGCGTTGAGTGTCAGGTAAAAGTATTAGGTAATCCTGAAACATCGAGTGGCATTCAAAAAGTTATACAACGAACTAAACTTTGATACTTTAAAATTTAAAAAAATTTCTATAATAGAATTTGCTATAAATGCCACCAAGCGCGATAATCCCAAAAGGCTTATCACTTATCAAGCCTCTCGTGTCATATGGGAATAATGTACAGTGAGTTGTATAATCAGAGTAACGGGTTTTTTTCTAAGATATTTTTTTATCAATCTTATTTTTTTTTTCGTATGAAGTTCATAATATTGAATATCATTGTTTATTAGGATTCTGGAAGACCAAGACATTCTGGATAATTCTCTATCTACTAAACTCAGCCTTGATACTATCCGGGCAATAATTAATTGATTCAATCTGAGCTAGGGTATAAATCTAGCAGGCGCTCGACTTTTCTATGCCTGAAAATATTAAGATTAATTTTGGTTTTCTTTTCATTTTTTTTGTTTTCTTGATATGCCTTTCAGTTAATTAGGCATTGATGAAGCATTTTAGTCTGACATTCTTAAAAATATTTTCGATATCCTGATAATTGATTTTCTTCCCCCTTCAAATATATTCACTCATAGTGAATACTTTTCTCAACTAATCCTTCCTGGCTTGTCTTACCTTATGCAACTTTTTTATAATGTCTATGCTTTTTTTCCTTGCTCCTTGGTTGATGTTTTCAGCTTTCTGTGGCTATTCTTCCGGTTCTTCTGTTGTGTCAATACTTTCTTCATTGATAGGTTATTTTGTTACATTACTCTGATGTTTTATTCCATCATTTCTAATCTCACTTTTTGTCGGTTTCCTTTCCGCTTCAGTAATGCGCAGTCTCAATAGGTGCAATTTGTCCGCGTATTTATTTTTTGTTTGCATTGGGACTCTGGACAAAGCAGGTATTTCTTTCTTCCTCATTTCTCGTTTTTATCCTGATAGTTCAGCCCGTTATTCTTTTGTTCTCACTTCTAGGTCATGCATCGCTTCCATTTATGTTAGTCAGGGAGACGACCGCGTTTTTCTTACTCCAATCGAGTTATATGTTAACACTATTATCAATATATCGTAATAGGTGCATCTATCCACCGTTATTCCTGCCTAAGAGTAAAAGCTGCCGGAAGTATCTTTTAACAAATTGAAAAAAACGTAAGAGTACCCTCATGATGTTTTCAATAAAAAAATACATGTACGAATTATATTTTTCATTTAGTAAATCTTGCTTTTGAAAACTATTTATTTTATTGAAAACTGAGAAGTTACAACAAAAAATACTAGACTCTAAATTGCTGCGGCAAAAGCAGAAAACAAAAAAATCTTGATTCTAATTGCTATAGTCTAAGTTAAAAACAAGAGAATGAGACGGAAGGCTCTGCGCGCCGTATCTATATCAAAATACTGCTGACGGTACAACTGAGTGGGTGAAACCTTGATATGACGGTACTTTTCCAGGCTGATTATTCCTTACTCAGCAGCTTTATAATATGTGGGCTTTTAAGGTCAATTCTCACTTACGCTTTTCTCAGCTCGGCGACGCGACACGACGCTGCGGAGCAAATTGTCGCTAGATAAATATTTTATTGTTTTAAATGAATATATTCCCACTTACGCTGCACTACACTTTACATTTAAACCAATGAAATATTTATCTAGCGACAATTTGCAGCGCGACGTCGTGTCACGTTTTGAGTGAAACGTAAGTAAGAATTGACACTTACAGTGACGTATGCTTATATTTAACATGTATATAATAGCATAGGGTTTTATAATATAACTCCTCCCTCCTTAAGTGGTTGCAAATGGGGATTGACTAACAATGTTGGGCAATCCAATCTGCACCTCAGTTTTAGTTTTACTACATTTTCCTTCAAAATATAGAATTATAGAATAAGAATAATTGTTATAAAAATAGAACTTAATACTATGATTATAATATAGGTTGGCACGTACATTATTGGTTTTGAAATTTAACTCTTTTAATGGGTCAGTCTTTAATTTGTTTGCTTTTTTAATTGCTCGTTGAAAAGCGTCATGGTCAACTGCTTTTAGTCTTACAGCTGTGATATTCTCTAGAATTTCAGGAATATCGATGATGGGTAGTTCTAGTTCTAGGTTGAAGTTATCATGCGTGTCTTCCAAAAATGTTCGATTTTTAATTGTTATTGAACATTTTCCTTTGGAAATTACGATTGGACTGGAAATGATTTTCATGTATTTCTTCTCGTCACATTGCAGCATTGCTGTCACATGTTATTTTGGAATAACCAATACTTGATTATTGGGTATTTCTTCAACTGTCGATTTTTCGTATTGAATTTTCGTGAATGGGCATAATTGTTGTTCACTAGATACAATATCGTGAACACAGGGCTCATCTTGTTTCAATAGTTCCATTTTGCACAAATGAATGTCTCCAATATTTGACATTTTTAAGAGCATTGTAATTCGTGTCTATTGTAAGTAACAGGTAAGGATACTTAACACGAATTATAGTCTGGCAAGTGGTAACTTGGTAGAGACGAAAGGGGGAAGAAAAGTTGGGCGTAACCTAAGAATATTCACTGACACCGCCTGATGACAACCATGTCTTTCGGTTCAGTGGCACCGAAAACACCAGGAAAATAAAGCAAAAAATTATTAGGAAAAAAATTCTTGAGTTTTACCAATAACCACGCCACTGGTGCTGTCGTTCAAGCTCTAACCAATAGAATCATGCCTCTGAATAATCACGCCTCTCCACATCCTTCATTTGGCAATGCTGCCGGATTTTATTCTATTTCAAAATGCTACACATACCCATATTGCAAAAAAAATATGTCACCAACTTGTTTATTATTGTTTCTGTCAAGTTTGGCAAAGCAGCAAATTCTTTTGCAGTTCGCCGTTTCGCTAGCCAGACAATATATAATTTTGGATGGGTATAGATAATAATTTATACATTATAAAAGGTTTAGGATTTATTATTGGTGTAAATATAGTAAATATAATTAAATCCTTTTGAATTATTACATGAGAGGACATTGTTTCATAGTATTTAATTACGTTGTCAAACGATATTTCTTGACTGGTGGGTATGTTTTTCAAGATCAAGTTCAATTCATTATGCTGCAGTATTTTATAGTGCATTATGCTTGTGTGTGCAAAACTGATTGCGTTTTGTATGTGGTTAATTAAGTCGCGTAATTTACTATTATTTTCGATATTTGATAATTGATCATGAAATGTTTTCGTTACTTGTTTAAGTACGTTTGTTTGATCTTTTAGATTTTTATCGATAGTTTTCTAATTCTCATTTAACTGTGATCATTTCATCATCTGTGATCATCATTTAACGTTTGAATATAAGAATCATATCTATCACCGTCATTCGCGTCTGATGTACCATACAGCCATTTTTGTGCTGTACCTATGAAATTGAATACCTCACTTCATTTCGTTCGTGTGAGAATTGTTTCACAAATTTCTTTAATGTATTGATACTTGATTGACTAGTTCCAATATTTACTTGTGGTAAAGTAACAATTTCGACTTTATTAGACCATTTGGTAAGATTTAAAGTATTGCTTAAATTCTTTAAAGTTATTTCGAGAGTTTTGATACTTTTTTCAATAAAGGTAGCATTATTGTGATGGCATACAGTACCCGAGTCAAGATAGTTCATATTTTGGGTGAAGCTAGACAAAAATAATATAAAGCTAATTTTTGGTATGTAACATAATTCAGGGCTAAATTTTAATATATACTAAAAGTCCCTGCCTTTTAATATTTTGGTGACTTTCTCGAAAACCATCCACTTTAAAGAAAAATATCAAGAGAGCACTTTTGAAGCTGATAAAATTTCCCTTGCAACGACGTACTGCGAGCCCATATATTATAGCGTGGTACGCACCAGTGGCATACCAGAAGAAAGTTTGTCCCGATATTAATTGAAAGTTCTTGACATGGGTTTATTGATTTTAACCAAACACTATAAGCTTAGGGAAAAATATCGTTACCAATTTTGGCAATTTTTTTGTAGGTGATAAAATTTCAAATCCATTGATATATAGAACGACCCCCTAGAACCAAAAATATTGAAACTGTTTTTTAATTAATTTTTTATTCAGTTTAAAAACAACACTTTAAACATCTTTCTTAAGAGTGGAATCCTCTGTAACAGTTTCCGCATTATTATTGCACGTTTCGCTATTGCAAGGGGAACAAAATGCGCTACACTTTTGGCCTGAGTGTCTACATGAGCATCTACCAGCATAATAGGTTTTGCAATGACAGAGAAGTGATTCGTGTGCGGGAGGTAGCGCAGTTTTGACAGGCAACAATTGTCCTTCTACTAACTTCCAGCCCCATTCAGTAAGAGGTAACC